TTTCCAAAACCCTAACTTCCTTCCCGCTCATTTCTTTCAAATTCCCAAAATAAAAATTTAACCGTTATTTCCTTTTATTTCTATAAAGATCCCTCCGTCCCCACTTTTCCCTTTAACTTCATTTCTTTCCAATCCTCTCTCTCTCTATCCCTATCTCTATCTCTCTCTCTCTAGGGTTTCTTGCGATTTTCCCTTTCATTTCTTGTGAAAATGCGTGAGATCCTTCACATCCAGGGAGGCCAATGTGGCAACCAGATCGGTGCCAAGTTCTGGGAGGTCGTCTGTGCCGAGCACGGCATCGACCCCATCGGTAAGTACACCGGCGATTCAGATCTTCAACTTGACCGGATTAATGTCTACTACAATGAGGCCAGTTGCGGCAGATTTGTTCCTCGTGCCGTGCTTATGGATCTTGAGCCTGGTGTTATGGACAGCATCAGATCTGGACCTTACGGTCAGGTTTTCAGGCCCGATAACTTTGTTTTCGGTCAGTCCGGTGCCGGCAACAACTGGGCTAAGGGCCATTACACCGAAGGTGCAGAGCTTATCGATTCCGTTCTTGATGTGGTTCGGAAGGAGGCTGAGAACTGCGACTGCCTTCAAGGTAATTTTGCTTAATCGACTGTTTTTTTTCCGTATTTTAGGTTCTTGTTTGTCTTTTGTTGCTCAATATGGCGTGGATCCGGTTCGTAGGGTTTCAGGTGTGCCATTCTTTGGGAGGAGGGACTGGATCTGGAATGGGAACTCTTCTGATTTCCAAGATCAGAGAGGAATACCCGGATAGAATGATGCTTACGTTCTCCGTCTTCCCATCTCCTAAAGTTTCTGATACTGTCGTCGAGCCTTACAACGCAACCCTCTCTGTCCATCAACTGGTTGAGAACGCCGACGAGTGTATGGTTCTCGATAACGAAGCTCTCTACGATATTTGCTTCCGTACTCTGAAGCTCTCCACCCCGAGCTGTATGTTTCTGCAAACCCTAGATCTAAGATCTGTAGCTTCACTTTTTT